CCGTATTTTATGCTATAGACTCCCGAGCAATTCCATTTATCAACCTTCTCGTTTTGCGTTGACAGGCTTGGGAAGAATGTTATCTTCTCTTTGGTTATCACCTTGTCATTCTATTGTCTTAGCAACGGTCGCAATTTCTGGCTCAGTTGACAGAAGGGCAGGCACATCCACTTTTAGTCGTCCTCCCGAACCCAGATCTTATTTTCATAAAACCCTAGTTAAAGTCTGCTCTCTATGACCTCTATATTTCTTTCCATGGCAAATCCAAGTCAGGTTCTCCAACTCGTCATCCCAGAACTATGTGTCCATTAAGTCTTAAGCTTCTGATTATCATAGTCCTCATTCTTTTCATCTTCAGCCTGTAGTTGTGGGGAGACTGGAAATTGAGGATTATTTCCGCATATGATTTCTTTCTAAATAGTATCCTTTTGACCTCGAAATCCACCAATGGTAGCCGTTTATCCTTCTCCACCTCCTTTTTGAGTTTACTTTTTTAATCAAATTGAAGAAGTCATCCAAATTTTTCTTACCATGCGACCAAATCAGTAATATAAAATGTATTCACCCACTTTCGTTTAAGGCGATGAGGGACTAGTAGAAGAAGAAATTTTCCCACAATCATATGAGTTGAGCTGACGTTTCCATTTAATTTCACATAGCCTTGCTCTGTCGCGGTTCGACTCCCGCTGAGGGTGTTGATAAGGCCGATTTGAGGTCGAAACTGCAGTCCACTGATGCCTGGATGAGATCAACTTTTGGGAAAGCAAGGCTATGTGAACTTTAATGGAAACTCATATCATTGTGGGAAAATTCTTTTTCTACCAGTCCTTTATCACCTTAAATGAAATTGGGTGAATAAATCTGATATTTCTTATGTCCTACCTGATTATGCTTTGATTGTATCACTAACTTTAGGATAAGAATTTAGTCGGCCCAGGACTGATGGAAGCCTAAGGGAACTGCAATGATATCACGATGCTCCATCACTCCTTACTTCACCTTAACCGACCCCAGTCGACCAAAGTTGCATTCAGGCAGAGCTGATAGTTTTGCAAGCTACTCATGTCTAGAACCACATAACAGTTGTCCAGTCGGTGGCCTTGGCAACACGAGACCCTTATGAGTGCTACTTTTTGCGACAGTAAACAGCGGTCGTCGAGGCCTATCGAGAGCTGAACCGTCCGAGTATGCGCATCTGCGTGGTCGTCGTGCGGCCGGAAAGCCTGTGTCGTCCAGACAATGCGGCCGCATGTTCACCTCCAAGACTGGCTGCTAGCCGGCCTGTTGCCGCCCTCGTCTGCGCTCATGCCGACCGGCCGGGCCAGTCGGTTCAGGCAGCGGCCAACGCCCAAGTTGGAACGAGACTGGGCTCAACTTGCCCACAGGCCCGGCTGGCCGGGCATAAGGCTTTTTACACGGACCAGGCCGGGCGCAGCCACGGATTACGACGGAAGCCCACGTCTGACCGGCCCAGGACTGGGTGACTATTGAGTCTTTGGCTAAACTCCTCTTTGCAATCGTCTCTTTTCTTCTGGAAGTAATCACGCCTTCTCAGACTCCCTTTGCCCCGTTCTGGCCAATAAATCCTCTCCACTCGCCCTCCAACCAAGCAAGTCTGGCGACTTGGTGGGCCGAGATCAGTCCGCTTCGGCTAAAGTGCCGTCTTGAATAAGAACTCTGTTCAGGCAAGATCGCGCAAAGGGATGAAGGACTGGAGGTGGAGTTGAATTTTGACCAGATCCCGTTCAATTGCATCTGACCCGACCTGGCCAAGACTGGATTGGACTGGAGTGGGCTGGACTGAGGTTTCGAACTCGCATGAACTGGTCACATCAGAAAACCTGGCGACTATCAAAACCCTAATTGTAGTGGGGCAGTCTGTAGGCTCGATATGATACTACCATGCCACACCGCCATGAGATTGTGTTGGTGACAGGACGGGAATCTTTCTTAGTACATATTTATTTTGGGACTTTGCCATAACAGTCGACCAAGTTAATTATACTCCCAGAAAGTAGGTTTCGAAATTTCATCAGCTTCTCTAATTTGGGGTGAATAAGGCTCTTAGTCACGGTGGCATGTTAGATCTTAATTGTTGTGCTTACTTCCATTTCCTGGAGTGACTAGAGCTCTTAGTCACGGTGGTATGGTAGATTTTAATTGTTGAGTTTAATTCTATCTCTTGGGATGACTAAGTCTCATGTACACGGTGTTATGGTAGAACTTAATTATTAAGCTCACTTCAATTTCATGGGCTGACTAAATTCTTAGTCACGGTGAAATGGTAGATCTTAATTGTTGAGTTTACTTCCATTTCTTGGAGAGACTAGAGCTGTTAG